GAGGAGAGTGGATAAATAAATTGTAGTGTAGTCATACAATTGAATATGACCCCATAATAAAATAAAAATGAATGAATGACATGACAACATGGATGAATCTCCAAATCACTATATTATGTAAAAGATGCCAGAGACCAAACAGTCCATAATCTGTGTTTCCATGTGTATGAAGTAGAAGAATAGAGAAAATTAATTTATGGTTTGCTATTAAGATAGGGTGGAAATTGACTGGAAATGGACATGAAAGAAACTTATGAAGTGATGGAAACAGTCTATATTTTGACAGAGGTAAATGGTTCCATATGTGTATATAGTTGTCAACACATATGGAATTATGTACCTAAATCTGTGAATTTAGCTGTACATTTTATTTTAATTAAAATATAAAATGGTAGGGGATTGACGCTGTGTGCTGGGGCTGGCTGGAGTTTCAGCAATGCTGCAGAAATTCAGGAATTTTCCAGGGAGTTGGTACCCATTAGATCCACCCAAAGTGGGCAAACAGGAGAATACCGGGGTCTTCTGCTCCCTTTTTTCAGAATGTTGTCTGCTCTTTCCCCTTCATGTCTCCCTCTCTCCATATAGAACACTCCCTCACATACACCTCATTCTCAACAGGATGAAAAACAAGAAGTAATTATCACAAGAATTTACTATTTTCAGGCTCAGAAAACTTATGTAATTACGTATTGAATGAATATACTCCCAGCTACTAAAAAATAATTAAATGAACATGTTCTAGAGAGTTATGAGAGCTTGCAGGTGATTTTAACTAAGAAGTGATCGTTGCTGTCGTAAGTGTACACAGTTTACGTCAGGAGATGATTATCTGGGATTTTCCACCTTGGTCTAGGACTTCTCACTCCACGCTGCTATCCACATTGCTGTGGCCATTTCTTTGCCCCTCCCTCCCTCTCTTCCCACGGTTTCTGCTTCCTGGGTTGGTCTAGGCCCTGCCCAGATGTTGACACTTAGTCCCATGATCCCTTTAAGACTCGGCTCCCTTGAACTTGGCCGTTGCTCTGGACTCTCCAGCTTTAAGCCTTGCCTGACGCAGATTCATCTACTGGCCTTCCTTGCTTCACCTGCTCCTTGGAGCCCCGCTCACCTCACCTGTCCTTCCAGCCAGTGTGTGTCAGTGGAAGACAGACCTGGGGAGGAGGACAGCAGGAGAGAGGAACCGATGAGAGACTTAGGCTTGGGAATAACAGAAGCTATTGGCAGGAATGCTGTTAGTTTGTTGATCGCTGGGAGTTCTCTCCAAGGATGACATAACTCCCTTGCACAGTCATACCTTTAAGAATGTGCTGGTGGGCAAAGCGTAATCAGTAAGAGACGGTGAATAATGTATCAGGGCAAGTGATTAGCACCAGCAGCAAAACTGCTCAAGGCATATGCTCAGCTCTGCTTTTCATAAAAATAACACCATAGCACAACATGAACAGTTCCAAAATTCCATTAGTATTCTTTAAACTGCATCCACCAAAAAAAAAAAAAAGCTACTGGGACCTGTATTTTAATGAATACTCATGACTATAATCATCTGTTTCATGTCTTGTAATGTCCTGACAGGTATAAATAATTTTCATGAGAGTTTCATCTAACTTTAGACTTTCAAGCTAAACAGCAGAAAATAAGTATAAAATCTTTATCATGGAAACAAATCTCCTGTGGAGCGTTAGAGGTTGTAAGCTATGAAGTATACTGTAGCTGTCCATTTGTTTTGTGCCTTTCACAAAAACAATGATAGCAGTTGCTTACGTGCGGCTGTCCTTGTGGTAAGTAGGAAGCTTTTATTTCCAGTGAATCGCTTTTCCCGGAACAAAAAGGCAGAAGAAATTCTTCAGCGTCAAACTGTTTTTATTAGTTCAGCGAATCTAAAATTACATTATCTCTGTTCTCCTGGCCCCTGTTGCTGTATCCCTCAATATGGTTAAGTCCGATGGAATCCAGATATCACTGTAGATCTATTTTGACTGATGGTATTTGGCTCCAGCTTAATCTACACAGTGCACTCAGCAGTCCTGACTCTAAGAATGTCCCGTGAATCTACTTTTCTCTCCCCTTCAATTGCATTCTCAAAACAAGACTCCGATTTTCTTTCTATCAGAGAACAGGAATAATTGCACAAGAGACCTACGTGTCCTTAGAGGCTGATTGCGGCTTATTCTATCCTGATAGATGACATCATTTCTAAATGTGTTGGTGTTCAAAATGATAAGCACCAGGTTGATATGTGTTATCTTCTCTTATCAACTGGTTGGAGAAAATTGGTTACACTCACCAAGGAGCTTTTATGCAAATGTATGCAAAGCAGTTTAGATTCAAATTATTTTTGTGCAAATTTCAGAACACATTCCCCCACCCTCCTCACCCTGCCCCACCCACAGCCCAGTGATAGTCACTTCTGTAGGACCATGAGAGGAACAGTATGTCATATGGAAAAAGGTTAATAATCACTGTTAGATGGTTGAATGTTTTGTACAGACAATGTTTGATATTGAATGATAATGTACATCAGGGTTATTTTGTTTATAATTAAATATCTGTGTATTTCTGCATATACACACACTTTTTTTTTTTACAATGTGTGTTACTTCCCTATGAGGACAAAAAATAAAGATATTCACTTGCTTTTTCTTTTTTTTCTTTTGAAGATAATGAAAGCACTTTAAAATTTTAATGTGACAACTCATACTTGTATCATGATCAGATATGTGGTGTTTCCAAGTAATTTGTTAAAGTGTTGAAATTGGGTAATGATTTGTTTATAAAGGAGAGTTGATTCAAGATTAGTCATTTCTGTTTACTTCCATTCAATTACACATTCACAAATTAACAAAAAAGAGTTGCAATTATAGAGAACATGTATATTGCCATAACCCACAGTCTGTCTTTCCTATAAACTCTTCCATACCCAGGAGAACTTGTAAAGTCTATGGACATCTGACCAGTGTACCAAGACAGAAAAAGGTCAATGGTCTAACAGACAGGTTGCTTTTATAAATCTTCACAAATCAACACTTAGAACCCTTTGTTAAATAAAATTCCTGCCTTTGTTTAATGTTGTAGGACATAAGGATGTTTGAATTCTCCACCATTTTTGTATTTTTTCTTTATGGTCTTGGTTTTCTTAAGGAAAAGTAAACTCTTTTATTTTTTTGCTGCCACATAATTTAATATTTAATCTCTCATGAACTTAAAAATGTTAAAGTTTTTTCTCCCTGAAGCACCATTTCCTTTGCTCATCCCAGGAAGCTAACCCAGAATGCATATCCTTCTGTAGTTTTTAGATTGTTGTTTTCAGAGCTTTAGTATAATCCCCTCTTCCTGTACTCTAATCAATCTACCATAGGAAAAAGTGATCTTTACTCCTCGGTCCACCGGGACTGATGGGCTAGTTTTAAAGAGCATCTTTAACACATTGGCCTGGATAAGAGATAAAAAAAAAAAAAGATCTAGTTAACTTGCGTCACTGCAACTCTGAAGAACCCAGAGGTACAGAGAAGAAGAGGATGCAGTTGAAACTAGAAATCACATCATTTGAGCAGTTCTCAGGATTTCCAGATTCTCAGACAGCAATTAAGTGCCATATTCTGAACTCTCCCCTTGTATCTTAGGGGCTGGAAACCTAAGAACTATATTTCTTCAAACCCCTGCCAGCAACACTTGAGTTCTATTTCACAAGTGTGGGATACTCACATGAATTTTGGAAAGCATAAAAGAAGCAAAAGACATGACCAAGTCTATGGGAATGTGGCTTAAGCAGGAGGCAATAATATTTTCACAAATGAATCTGTGCTGTTTCCTGTGTATCGTCCACACTCCCGCTGTAGATATTAGTTGTGGTTTCCTGCAATTTTGCACTTCCTGGTTTCCTCAATGACAGTGGAGGCTCTTCCTAACCTTCACCTTTCCAGCTCCTCCATTGGTTTTGTAAGATTTTGATTTCTTGTATTAAATGACCTTTTGCTAGAAATACCTATAATGGCTTCTCCTTAGCTGTCTGAATCATGACTAATATACACTTCACTGGCTGCTCCGTGCCTCCCTTGCACAAGGTTCTAGATAATTCTGAGTGAGCCATAAATGGAGTCTATGAATAGCATTCCTTTCAACTATGCAAATGTCTATCTTTAATGGCCTTCAAAAAATAAAACCAATCTAATCCTGAACAAATATGCATCATTATTGGATTCCTACATGGCTAAGACCTTACTTTTCTACAAGTTGTATGATAAAAGTGGGAAAAGCATACCGTTTACATCTTTATGGATGTATCTTCACATCCACTTTTAATATTTACTTGACTCATCAACTCAGCTTCCTTGATGGATATTGACTGAGCAGTAACTTAGTGCCAGGAACTGCACGTACCTGTGATACCACAATGATTTAAACAGTCCCCATTCCCTGCTTTCATGTGCTTCATATGCAGCAAAGATTGGAAAAAGAGAGAATCTTCAAGGGGCAAAACATATAGGTACAGCCAGGTACTAAACAGCCTTCCAAATCATAAAAAGATTTTGACATAAGAATGATGAGGAGACACTGAAGAGTCTTCATCAGAGAAGTGATTTGATAAAATCTGAGTTTTTGTATTCTGAGGGGGAGGTAATTAGATTTCTTCATTGATTTCCACTTGAAGGAGGTACTGGGGATTGATCCCAGGACCTCTTGGGTGCTGAGCATGCCTCTACCATTTGAGCTATACCCTTCCCCCAGTAAAATCTGAGTTTTTGAAAAATCACTCTGACTAGTGGGTAAATGTTGGATTGGATAGGAAAACGATGAGACACAGAAAGAACTATTAGGAAGTTGCTACATTAAACCAGATGAGAGATATAGGGGTCCCAGGAAATAATCACAGCCTGAACTATGGTGGGGAACACAGGGATGGAGAAAGTGAATTGATTCAAGAAACATCTAGGAATTAGAACAAAATGTGAGAATTGATTGGACTTGTTGATAAAGAGACAGAAGAGTCAAGAGTGACTTCAAAGCGTGGCTTTTGCAAACTGGGTAGATAGCAGTGTCATGATTGGGACAGGAAAACAAAGTGGAGGTGGGGCGGGGTGTGGATCAAAATGGCAAGTTGTGACCTAGGCATGCTGGGTTTGCTCTGCTGGTGAGATACCACGTCGGCACGTCAAGTGGGCTGATAGAGATACAGGCCTGAGGTTCAAAAGAAAAGTCTGAGCTGAACATAGAGATTCAGGCACTGTCAGAATATGGATTATAATTGTAGCCAAAGAAGTGAGGTTCTCAGGTTCCTTATAGACCCCATGGAGCGCGCGCTAGACTAACTGTCCGGGAGCCACCGTTAATTCCCCTTCTTTAGTTGTGTCAAAGGCTGACGGTCGCATCTTGGACAGGCATTCTGACATAAAATAATGCACATTTCTCTAACTTCCCCAATTCTTTTTATTTCAACAGATCAAATCACTACATAAAAGACATTTTATTGATGAGTTAACAGAATTAATTAGATCACATGTATTAATTGGATTCTAATAATTTACTATGACCACAGGTGGTACAGTAGCATGCACATTTCCTACAGTGTAAGAATTCTCCAAGAGGGAAAAAAACCTTTAACCACAATTATCTATTAGCATCTCAAGCAAAGTAACTGTTATTTAAAAGACAAAAGCTTCTTCTTAGACAGTTACATCAGGTCCAAGAGAAAAATGAATTCTTCAGTTATATATTACAGATATACATTATTAACTTCTTATTCAGTCTTACACCCAATCTAACTTCCACTGTTTCCATTCATTTTCAGTTTCCTAAAAGTGCAGTGCAGTTCAAGATCAGTCTTTTATTTCTAGCATGGAAATAATTCCATAAAAGCTGTAATATAAATTTTATATGTAGCCATAAAATAAATCTCTCCCGTTCATAAAGTTAATGTTTGTAACTAAATGCGATAGTCATGCTGAATTGACTTAAAATTTAAAGAATCTATTCACAAGTTCAGGTATACTTATAAAAATATGATTATAATGAAACTTCTTTAACAGCCTCCAACTATTTTAACAGCTATTTTAACATCTCAATTATTTTTCATGAACATAATAGAGTTTTAAGCATCTTTGGTTGGATACTATTGAAATAAAAATGTATTTACGAAATCATTAAAAAAAAAGGTACTATAGCATCTACGTTCCACCCTTTATAGGTAAAATTATATTATTATGTATTCATAAGTTATCCAAAAATACAGCTAATTATTTTGAGAAGCAGATAATTTTTGTTGAAATTGGTCTAAGCAGAACATTTTCAAAGTGGAATGAATGTAATGTTTTTAACAGTTCTTACCAGATGGGTTCCATTCTGATGTTCTATTGTTTTATGAATCATGAATGTGTCCATGGAAGATGAATTTCAGAAAAAAATAACACTGCAGTAAACACATTAGAGCTATGTACCTGCGCAAAACTGCTTACAAATCACCCCAAAATGTTACAAAATGCCATGAAACTATTTTCTAATCTGATTTGAATTTTTTGTGAGGACAAACTCAGCTCTAGCAGAGGAAAAATATGTGTTCAAAAAGTTGTAACACTTAAGCAATGAGTTAAAGTATTGAGTTGCATGCTTCTTTATTCTGTAAATAGTAACTGTATGAAGCAGGGACAACTTGAAATGAGAAGTTAAATAATGGTTTGCATTTCTCTGAGAACTTCAGCCTTCAATTCTAAGTTGAAGAAACTTTTCATTAAATGTGCATTTGTTTTTACAAAAACAATTGGTTAATTGGGTGGTAAAAACTTCCCCCATCATTTGCCAAAATACTAATTACATAGCAAATTTCAGTTTATTTCCTTGAAGTCATTCAAATAGTTGGTAACATTTGCCTGCAGCATTCATAGGAAGAATTAACAAAAAGCCAAAATATAATAGAGAAACGTCTGTGGCTTTCTAGGGAAGTTGGTATTGGTAGCCTTCTCATCAGATGAGGGGGGAGCAGTGAATTATACATTATCCCCAATCTCTGCCCTCATGTGATTTGGAAGCCAACTTATTTGCCCACCATCTTTTAGCAATACTGACACCACCAACTCCATGTTCCTGTTTCCTTCACTCTGGGAAACAGTTAAAAGCATTTCTCTCTGCTTTTACTTATAATTCAACCTACCATCCAAGCAACTGTAAGCAAACTTTTGCTGCCTCATTTTTACCTACACTCTGCCAACCAGTTTTCCACGAGTTACACTGCAGATGCTTCCATTCAGATGCTCTTTTTCTTCCTTAAAATGGGAAATCAGGAGGCACCTGAATGCCCTCCTCAACCAGACTGACAGCTCTGGTCAGAATTCATCCATCTATTTTCACACGGCAGTTGCCCTTAAACGTTGGTAGCCTCTGTGAAAGAGTCACTGGGGCCATTGTTCTTTGTGACTTCCAGATTCTTTTTAGCCTTGAACGTCACGGACACCTCGGAGTGAATGGCGTCCATCCTTTGCTGACAGCGGAAGGCTGAGAGGAAAGCCTTTCTGTAGTTGCTGTTCATCCAGCCATAGAGAAGAGGGTTGGCAAAGGTGGAGCACATGGCGATGATGTGGAACACGGTGAAGATAAGTTTGTACTCCTTCAGGTCCAGGACTTGGTTGTCAATGTCCACAGCAAGTTGGAAAGCATGGAGAGGCAACCAGCTGACCGCAAACACCACCACCACACACACCAGCATTTTGGTGGTTTTTTGCCTCCGCTGATGATAGTGGTCATTGGCAGCTCCAGGGCTGACATGGTTCCTAAGTTTACTCCAGATACGAGTGTAGGAGAAAGAGATGATGCCCAGAGGTAGGACATACAGAATCAATAAGGAGGAGAGACTGTAGACAGTGCCATAGACGCTCTTGTCCTCACCAGGCCACTTCTCCGTGCAGGCCACAATCTCAAAGTCAGGAATGATCTCAATCAGTGAGTACTCCCGGAAGATGGCCAGGGGGCTTGCTAGCAAGGCACTGACGCCCCAAGCCAGGCCAATAATCAAGAAGCTGATTCGCTTGGAGATCTTGCTCTCCAGGTGGTAGACGATGCAACGATGCCTGTCCAGGGCAATTACCGTCAAGGTGATGGTGGACACTTGTACCGCCAGGCCCTGGGCATAGGGCACCAAGTGGCACAGGACAGGACCCATTTTCCACTCCCCCATTAAGGTGTAGGTAAGCGTAAATGGCAGGCAGAGGGTATTCACCAGAAGATCGGCCACAGCCAGGTTGGCGATAAAAAAGTTGGTTACTGTGCGCATGCTCTTGAATTTGATCACCACGTGGATCACCAAGGAATTGCCAATCACCCCAAGCAAGATGATGGAGCAATAGGCCAATATAAGAACGATCTGTACCTCGATCAGCTTGGTGCTGTCTATGAGCTCGGGCTCAGAGTCGGGGGCCAGCTCACCTCTAGGAGTGGTGTGCCCTGGACCAGACTGCTCCACCTTCATTTCTTCCACCGTCTGGTTCTCATCAGCCTCTGCACCTAATGGGCCCATTTTCAGCACAAGAATCTACAATTTAAAAAATGAACAAATGTGGAACAAGGAAAACACAAGAGTGAAAGGAATATTACAAATGGGTTGGTTTCATTTCGGTTGGGGCTCAAAGTACCTGTCCTCTGATCCTTACAACTGCACATAGTGGAACATTTCAATAAAGCGGACACCTTAGTAAGTCTATTCACGAATGTGCATGGATTAAATCAAGTCTTTGAAATATGTATTATGAAGGCAAAATGTTAGACCTATAGTATAGACATAATTTCAATGTGAGTGCTACCAAACTGATTCAATGCATTTTAAGCAAGATGGATATTAGAAACTTACTTAAATTAATTTTATAACTGCTATAAATTCATCAAATTAATTTTAAGGTTGATAAAGAAAATTATCTTCACTATTTTGACTGTCTTAAATTTATAAATATAGCAACAAATTGTATGAAAAAGAGACATATTAAAACCCTTTGCTTGGTGCCTGGACTTTAGTAGAAAAATTTAAGATAAACTGAGCAGATTCTGTTTCGTAGCCATTTTTCCTAGTGGATGGGTTAGTGTTAAAAATAGATAGCCTGTGTAAAAATAGTTTCTTTTTTTGAGGATCTGAAATAAACTTCCTACCTGACACAGCAGAATTCTACACAGGAACCATAGGAAAATATGTCCAATCTGAATTCCGTCTCTCTCTCTAGCCCCTAAGTACAAAAGTTTTAACACATTCCTTCCCCAATCGCTCCCCTCACCCTCGGAATGTCCTTTCTGTGTGCCCCATTCAGTCAACACTATCCCCCCTTGATTAAGCCACATAAAGCTGCCACATGAAGCAGGTAACCATGCTAAGCATTTTCATCTCCTTTAGTTCTCACATTTAAGAGAACCCTCAGACTGATCTCTTGCATATTTCTCCCAATGGTCCTTTTATTTCTATCACATTAATTCTGGCTGCCTTGATTTTTTACCATAATTACTCTAACAGTCATCTAACCTTCTTGTCCCACTTGCTCGCTCTTTCTTTCTCTCTTTCTCTCTCTCTCTCTTCTTCTCTCTCTTTCTTTCTTTCCTTCTTTCTTTCTCTCTTTCCTTCTCTCTTTCTTTCTTTCCTTCTTTCTTCCTCTCTTTCCTTCCTTCTTTCTTTCCACCTTTCATTTGTTCATTCATTCTCTTTAACGTTCATTCATTCAATATAATTGAGCATCTACTAAATGCCCAGGGTGGCTTCACCTTCATGATGCTTATACTTACTCAAACATGCATTTGGCAAGTATTAGAAACTTATGTCAGCAACTGGGACTCATGCTGGGGGAAAAGGCAACAGGATAGCGCCCTTACTCCAAGGCTCTTACGTTTACTAGACAGCGCCTACTCTGACATTACAATGGTCTTTCTGAAATTCAGATGTGATCATATCATTTCCCTCAGTGTCTGAAAGTTGCTTAAAACAATATAACATATCAGTTTCTGATATAAATTTCCCTTTTCAAGTCTATAAAAATATCTGGAGCCCAACAACATCATAGCAGTACTTTTTGAATATACTCATAATGACAGAAGCTTCCATAATTAATTCAGAACCTCTTTCAAATGAACTGGTTTTTCATGAATCAGAATCACATCTACCTACATTGGTAGGTGACTTATTTGTATTCAGCCCACAGACAACGTCTGGCTGGGCTTGTGTGCCCAACTCCATTCCTCCCCCTGCTCTTAGTGGGCAGATTCTTACAGACCACATGTTTAGGCTCCCAAATCATTGGGATGCTGGCTGGGTTTGGCCAGTGGGAGGCATTGGCAGGTAATTAGAATGCAGGAGGGAGGGAGAAGCCAGAAGCCAGTGTACTCTTCTCCCTCCATCTCTCTCCAGGCATGCCTTAGCTGCCCATCTATGGCAGGTTCCCACAGATCTGTCATGATTTTGTTTCCAGAGGAGGTCCCTGGTCCCTGTCACATCACTTTCTCTGTGTCCCTGTAGCTGGAGGTAGTAAAGACTTGTTGCTCTTGCTAATCCCCGGGTGGCCTCAACATCCCCTGCTTGGTTTCCATCACTTGAATAACCAGGTTTCTGCATTCAATTCCTCCTCTTTTCCCTTCTTGAATGGTTTCTGTTTTGCATGATGTGCTGATCCCATGCATATATGCTTTCATTAATTTGCTCTCCCACTGAAGGTACTACACCCACAAGCTGGTAACACTGACGTTCAGAAGAAAAGCCCACCTCCACTGTATGATATTCAAAGCCTTTGCTGAGCTTATCCCCTCTGGCTTCATCTCTCCTGACATCTCAGCAGATATCCTGTGATTCTGTCATACGGAACTACTCCCGATTCCAGCAACACGTTGGCCTTTCTCACGCTTCTCTGCCTTCCCTGTTCTGAACTGAGAAGCCTGTCGGTTATCCCAACAACCTGTGCTCACTTCTAATGCAGCAAGTAGCACCTGCCACGTCACGACTGTTTTCCTTCAACCCCCTCCCCACAGCAATCTCTTTCAGGACAGAGACTGGATCGTTTCCATCCATTGTTTAAATCTAAGCAAATACGAAGCTAAAGGAAAGCATAATTTTTCTAAATAATCGAGCTCAGCAAAGTACAAAGTGACAATTTTGATCCTTTCCTTCCCTGAAGATAATTGCCTATATAGGATCCTTGCTCTGATATAACATCCCTGAGCTTGATTTCTTGTTCTTAATCAGGTAACCACCTCTGCAAGAAGAGTTGTTTCAAGATCCCTCTCAAGTCAGTCCCTGATTAGAACACTAAAAATTATTGGTCAGTATACACCATAAGGAAACTTTCTATCTCAAAGGCTTATCTCACTCACACACACACACGCACACACACACACCCTAATAGTTGCTTCTTACAGAGACGGAGATTCCCATGTACTCCGTGACCTCATGCATTTGCCTTACTAATCAATTCTAGTTCTTTCTGCGTAAATTTCAAACAGAATGTTCCAAGGAGTCCAGGCCCTCTTTTGCCTTTGCCTCCATTCTTTACTGATTAGAGAAAATGAAAACTAATCATTCAAATCTTGGAGGACCCTTCCATTTTCCTTAGACTGAGAAAGAGACTTTACAGAGCACCGTTAGTCAATCCAACAAGTCATTAACAGAACCAACAAGACTCCAGGAGGTCTGAGTTTGAGGTTTGCACCAAACAAAATTGAGAGTAAGCCTGAAGTAGAAGGTTATGAGGAGTGTATTTGACTTAGTAACTTATTTTACTTTTTCTTTTCAGTTCTATTTTCTTTATTCCTTTCTTTGAAACTTCTCTACAGGAACGATTATGGATCTACAGGCTATTAGCATGTGAGTTCTAATAGCTACTCTCAAGCAAGGACTGGCTTTCAGCCAGTTTCAGAGCATTGCCCAGAGAATGTATCATTTTATGACTGCACTTCAGGAAAAAAGGAAGAAGAAAAGAGAGTATATAGAGGGAGTCCCCAGATTAGGAACTCAAAAGCACAAAAATTAAAACAGAAGTAGAAAGGGGGAAAACTCCTTTCTTTGAAATGTGGTGAAAATGAGGCATTCACATTGTTCAAGACATTTAAGGAGAACTGTAAATGGTACAGTTTTCCTGAACAAGTAAACCTTTAGAGATTCTGCTATAGAACTATTTCTTTGTAGAGTATGAAAATGGCTTCAGGGTTTTGCTTTTGTTTTGTTTTGTTTTCCCAGAGATTCAAAGAACTTCAGATTGAGTGGGAAACCAGTTTATGCTTTGACTCCATATTTAAATTTGTGGGGCTTTTTGCAACAGTATTCTTATTGTCACAGGTTGGCCTTAGTAAAATTGAACATCTTATCAATCACAGAACCTTCCAGGAATTTTTCTCAGGGGAAAAAAAATCCCAGAAAGTATGCCATATGCCCTAAACGTGTTAATCCTCAAGAAAGGGGGTGTGGCCATCCAAGAATGCTCCATGCAAGACATGACTGCCTGACAAGCAGAAAGTTGAAAATATTCACCAAGGGGACTGAGAACGTCTCTTCTGGATATTTGAGCCTCTGACCTTTGAAAACAGTACTGCGCATTTCACATCATTCAGTTTACATGATGTATCCCTATTATCAAAAGCCTTACAGCTTTTCCTTTCACCTCTTTTTTTTTTTTTTTTTTGTCCACCACATGCTCCTACCAGAGGGTGAGCCCTTCTGGTGAACCAGAGAACGCTTAAACAAATGGGTCCGCTGTTGAACAGCTCTGGAGAATCCAGTATGACCTATTGCCTGAACAGGTGTTTGACTTGTAAGGAAGAGTCAGCAACAGTAAAAACCTGTTGTTCTGTTAAAATACTAACCTCTCTCTAAGAAGTTTCAAGGAAATATCAAGAATCTTCACTCGGTAAGGAAAATTCTAGCGAAAGTATAAAGTAAGTATGGTATCACCGCCCCAGTGCCCATCTTCGACATAAATGAGAAAAAAAAAATCCCTCACGAGGACCTCCCCCATCCCCTCTTCAAGGGACCCGAAAGCTTCTCTGGGGCTTTGCCTGGTCCCCAGAAGGTGAATTACACTTACTGACCCGGCCCTCGCGTTTCTGCTGAGACGTGGACGCCAGACGTGTGCCGCGGGTCACTCTGATGATTACCTAGCCGCCGGCTCGGAGAGGACACTGGAAGGTCCCCACAGGCCGACCTCGTGCCTTCGGCTCGGCAGCGGGCGCAGGGCAGCCAGCGCGCGCGGGAGAGCAGAGAGCGCGGCGTCCTCGCGGCGGTCGGAACGGCGGGGAGGCTGGTGCCGCTGGGATCCGCCGCCCACCTCCGCCGCCAAGCGCGCGGACACGCGCCGCCCCGCGCGGCGCGCCCGGGGTGGGAGCGGGAGCGATGGGAGGCTCCGGAGGAGGGGAGGCGAACCTCCCTCGAAAAGGAAAACAAATAAACAAGGAACAGGTGCGGGGAGTTGGGGGCTAAGGGCCCCGCAGCAGAGAGCGGGCGGGGAAGTTTCCGTGCGAGGGCGCGGGGGTGGGGACAGCGTCCAGGTCTCCGCCCGGAGAGCCTGGAACGCGGGCAGCGGGACCCCGCCCAGCGCCGCCTCGCGGGCCGCACGGTCACCTGCAATTGCTTCTCCCCCTGATGTCCACTGGCCACCCCCAAGTTTGATACTCTGGGCGTTCCCAGCACTCTTACCTCCTCTCCCCTCCACCAACCCCTCCCTTTGCTCTCGGCTCCTCAGTTCCGCGAGAGATGGTCCAACGGGCCTGCGAGGACAGCCTGCCCCGCCACCCCTACCCCAGGCTCGGGCCGAGCTAGCACATCAGCCCAGGAGAGGCCAGGGCGAGGGCGAAGGCCGCCAGGCAGACAGTCCCAGCTGCGAGCGACGGGGCTGCGGTCCCCGGTGCGAGTGTTGCGGACCAGAGGACACCTTGAGCTGGCGCGAGGCGGGCCTGGGAAGCAGAAGCCCCGCTATTTGGCGGGGCTGGGAAACCCCACAACTCCAGCCAGGAGCTGCTGCTTCTTTGTTTGCAGAAGCAAAGATGGGGAGCTGGACCCGCGCACAACCACGGAGAAGCGCCCCACACGATTGCCCGCGGAGGACCAACCCTCGGCCAGGGAGTGCGGGGCGCTGGTGAAACTCTAACTAGGCGGTTGTCGCGCTCCAATGAGAAGGTAAAGCGACTTCGGATCCCTGTTGCCCACCATCAGCAATTTCCTGAACAGGTGTCTGTTGACAGTTTACAAGTTACGCAGTGCGCAGGTTCAAAAGCCAGCAGCCCCATGTGGTGTGCGCTCCCACTGGGGCAAAAGCTAGAATAGGAAAAGGAAAACAACGGGTCACCAAAAGAAAACAAAACACACACTCACAAAACAAAAACCAAAACAAATTATCTTTTTCTCCGGTTAGCTGACTTCCCAGTCCTTCGCTCTTTGGTGCTGACCCAAACCACTCGTGCCACGATGCGCGCGTGCCTCCGGAATCCTTTCGCCTGTCTCCTCCTAGCGATGCCCTCTCCTAAAGCCTGGAGCCCGCCAGGCTGAGTTAGTGCATCAGAGGAAAACAGGACTGTGGAGTCAGTCAAAAAAGCTGCGAGGTCTGTTTCCTCGGTATTCCTCCCAGAAACTCTTATTTCAGAGCCATTCAGTCTCTCTTTCCCTTCTTCATTTTCAGAGGGGGCAGCAGAGCCTACCAAGCTGGGAAAACAAAAGCCTGAAACTGGAAACCAAAGCTTATCCTCAAATGTCATGTGCTAGAGCTTAGCACACATTACTTCTTCTATGCATCAGTCTCTTCATTTCTGAAATGAGGATGTTCACGCTGCTTCACTTGAAATTTCTCTGAAACACAAAAAAAGACTAAGCTACTCAAAAAATACTCTCCAAAACATTAAGTCGTCTTCTCAAAAGCACTGAGTTTTCAACCAATGGGGACTTGTCCACACCTAACAGTATTGCATATGTAAGGCAACTTAAGTTGGTCTAATTTGAAGTTGATCTTCTGGTTAATGTAGAATTAAACCCACAAGAACACATAGACATCACTGATAAACAAAGCAGCTTGGGTTCTTCAACTGCCAAGAAATAAAAAGTGCACAGAACTGGAAATATTCAAGATGTTCTTCACAGTTTCACTTAAAATATCTCTGTACATTTTTTACCTTGGAGAAATATTCATTGTTTGCACATGTATTTTCTGCAGCAGGTTCCATGATTCTTAATATATTTCCCCCAGCGAAGAATGAATTATGTGCCAAAGAGTTGTAACTTTAGGAGAGTAGGAGTGGTTTAAAACAATCACAAAAACAAATACACAGGAAAACAAATGAGTATTGTCCTTTAGAGTAATTGCTTTGGAGGATTCAACTGATTTCACTGATATAGACTGCATAGAACAAATTTGCCTCTTGTTAGAACTGTCTTTTTTTTTAATTTATGTTTTGATTTTTATTTTTAATATTTTTCCATTAACCCCCCCCTTAAGGGAGGCACTGAGGATTGAACCCAAGACCTCGTGCACACGCTCTACCACCGAGCTATGACCCCCCACCCTCAGAACGGTCTTTCAAAAGCATCTTAACAGGCATATACAAATATTTGTCTCACTCCCTTATATACATGTATACATAGATCCACAGACATCTAGTCAGCAATCCTGATAAGATTACATGACGTCTTTGATTAATGTCTTCAATAAAGGATGGAATTGCATAGAAACTGATCAAAGAACTTAAAGTTGCTTTATTGTGTGCCATATTATCAAGGATAGTTTTGACAATTAACTCATGCCTTTTTTTGTGCATTAAAGTCTACCTGATATCTTTTAATGTGTATATCCTGCATAGTATAGCAACAGTGAACCATTCTGATAAATGCCAATAACCCTGTCAAGACACTGTTAGAATGTTGCAAAAGTGTTGGTGAAATATTCATTAATACAAATTGAGACAGAGTGGGATTAACTGCCTGGTTTCTCTTGCATCAAATCTCTTAGTTCCTCAGGCAATTTCTCATCTAACCAGGAGATGTGCTGATTGCCCTTCAAATAGGGAGCAGACTCAAACTCAGTTGCCTCCATGGCTGGGGCCAATGGCATAAATATGCCAGCAGGCTAGGGTGTAGGAGCAGGAGACAGTGGTAGGGGCTATGACAGCTCAAAAGACACAAAAACACATGCTTCTTTGGAAGAAGGAGGCTGCTTCCCGGATTCCACTGAGTTGCCTTGCAAAAATCTAGATCCAGTATTGTCAGACCAGATATTTTAAAAGAAGCAAAATTTGTATTCTTAGAAATCTTCCCAATTTTAAATGAAAGAAATTAATCTTTAAAAAGTCAAACCTACAGGACGCCCAGATCTATGCAGACCAAAATTGATAAGGAGATATAGATACAAGATAGACAGATAGATAGATATCTGAAGCCTGGCCCATGGGCTTCCAATATTGTAGCCTCTGATATTAGTATGTGATGTTTGACAGACTTTCTCAAATATCCAAAACATGACTCTACTACCATTTTCCCTACCCTAGAGGCCATTCCTCAGTGCACATAAATATAAAAGGAATACAGCCAATGCTTAATTGCTAAATAAGTAATTTTCTTTTCCTGGTTGAATAGATCTTTTCAATGAGTCTCTGAAGCAGACATGGTGAATAACTGAACAATTTAGTATTTTAGATAGTGAGAATGAGGAATTTCAGAGAACTGCATGAGAGGCTATGGAGAAAAGGGAACCTTCCTACACTGCTGGTAGGAATGCAGTTAGGTGCAGCCACTGTGGAAAACAGTATGGAGATTCCTCAAAAGACTAGGAATAGACTTACCATATGACCCAGGAATCCCGCTCCTGGGCATATATCCAAAAGGAACCATACTTCAGAAAGACACTGGCACCCCGATGTTCATAGCAGCACTATTTACAATAGCCAAAACATGGAAACAGCCTAAATGTCCACTGACAGATGAATGGATAAAGGACATGTGGTATATTTCCACAATGGAATACTATTAAGCCATTAAAAATGACAACATAGTGCCATTTGCAGCAACATGGATGCTCCTGGAGAATGTCATTCTAAGTGAAGTAAGCCAGAAAGAGAATGAAAAATATCATATGAGATCGCTCATATGTGGAATCTAAAAAAAAAAAATTCATAGACATAGAATACAAACTTGTGGTTGCCAAGAGGGAGGGGGGGGTGGGAAAGGACAGATTGGGAGTTTGAAATTTGTAGATACTGACAGGCATATGTAGAATAGATAAACAAGATTATACTGTATAGCACAGGGAAATACACACAAGATCTTATGGTAGCTCGCAGAGAAAACAATGTGACAATGAGCATATATATATTCATGTATAACTAAAAAATTGTGCTCTATGCTGGAAATTGACACAACCTTGTAAAATGACTATAACTCAATAAAAAATGTTAAAAAATTAAATAACATCAGGAGAGAAGAGCATTTATGATGCATATTTCTAGATAAAGTAAATCATAATCTGGATTTCATTCAGTCTAAATTTATTATGACAGCAAGAAAGCATCCCTCAAGGTGAAAATAATTTCATGGTTATTTTGATTATAAAAGTAATTTATAACCATTGTAAAAAGAGCAAAGAAAGAACTACACATCATCTGAAACAACTCTGTGGAATGATGGAAATGTTCTATACCTGCACTGCCCAATAAAGTAGCCACTGGCCACACATGGCTACTGACCCCTAGAAATGTGGCTTTCCAAGTGCAACTGAATTTTTTAATTTAATGTTTTAACAAGCACCAAAAAGAACAAAAATGTTTTGATTCCTGAGGGAAAGTCCTCTTGGTTTCACTCTGCCAGAAAGTTAGGTTTTTGTTTGTTTGTTTATTTGTTTACCTTGGTGTCAGGATTTCCTGAGAAATTATTCAATAACCTTCAGGTCACACCAGCCTGACTTAGATCACAGACAGAACAAAGCAGTGCAGTGCAGCTGGAATGTGGAAGCTGATTCCAGAAGGAGAAAGAAGTAAGCTCATAAGTCAGGGCACCAGCCTGAAGAAGGGAGGAAGAACACAAGACCAAAAGAGAAGGGGCAGCAATCCCATGCTGGGGAAGTCTCTAAACCCTAAGAAAAGTTCAGTGAAATTTATTAACTTTTGATAAATATTGTACCTAACTTCTCAGATTTAAAAAAAAACAAACCACAAAGCCTCGTAACAAGTCCCTAGGTAGGAAATATTAATAATCAAATTAGCCTAACAGAGTGTTTGGTATATTTGAAACTGACTCTGTCTTGCTTTATTTAAATGTTCAATAAGTTTAGTTATTATTTATTCTTAGGCTTATTAAGTCCTCTTTATAGAAATTCTTTTTTAAAGTTTCAATCACATTCCCCTATAGGAAAAATTATGGAGACTGACTATCCTAATGGACATTTGCTTATACGATTAGTTCTCCATTGGTTGTGGATTTATTTCTGATTGGACCTGTGTCCAACTTTCCTTTCAGGCGGGAAAGGCACAATGGGAGTTAAGTTAATATCCGAATAGATAAGATGGAGGTTGTACCAAGTAGACACAGAAGAAGAGACCAGCTTATGTAAAGGGAACTGCAAGTGTTATAACTTTCAAATTAAGTCTACCTTTGAAAGAATGAACCAGTCTGATCACACTTGTTTTGATGGAAAGGTAATCTTGTTCCACTGCCTTCTACCTCATTACAAACTTAGTTCACTGGGAACAAGCGAACCAGTACATGTG